GCTTCGCGGTATTCATCGCTATCCTGTTATTGGTTACTTCAGCTTTTCACTCTGTCCCATGATTCTCACCACCATACATGCCGTAACCCTCTGGCCGGCGATAGCCCTCACGAAAAGGGTCCAAGAATCCGCTAAAGCAGATGGCCGATATGATCCCGACAGTTGCCAACAAAAACCAACGGTGCAAGCCCTCAGCAGCATTCACGGCCTCAGTGTTTAACGTATGAAGCTCCTCCGGCACACGATTTGGCGACGGACTTTTTGGGAATTCGTGAAATAACGCTGCAGGGCCGTTATCACTCCCGTCACGCTCCTGACGAATCTTGTCATAGTACCAACGATTCTGCACACAAACAAGAGAGGTGGCTGCAGAAAGAAAAGTACACGTCAACAATCGTCGTTGCATTTACTGCTTGGCTTTTGCTCCGCTATGATGCTTCCTTTACCGTAACCTTCGACACACCCTATTCTTCCTCATTCCTTGCAGCAGTGCAGCAAGGTACAGTAGGCAAAATACAAAAACAAAGTGAGCATCCTTCCAGTTGGGGGGGCGCGGGCAATGGCCCTGCAAAAAAAAAAAAAAAAATGAGAGGGAGCCACGCGTGCAGTGAGGGGCACGAGCGTTGCACTGCACACAAAGCCAATTAGTGAAAATAAAACCACAATGCGAGAGTTGCACTGCAACGACAAGGCGGCGTGATGCCCTGTGGGGAGTGTCGATGCGGACCGGAACATCGCCTGCAGGAAGAGTTGCTTCTCCTGCTGAGCAGAGAGGAAAAACGGCCTCAGCGTTCCAATAATGAGAGGTCGCCTGCACCTCGCAGCACCTACACGCTCTGCAGACACAAAGATGCAGGTGACGCTCTGCTGCACGCATAACAACCGTTGCACCCGTCGCAATGGCAACCGCATCCTGTCGCACCACACGCCGCAGCGGGTGCGCACAGTCTCCGTCTCACTCACTCCTGTCCCTCTCCCTGAGAACTCATCGGTGGCCGTGGCACACCCACCAACATGTCAGAAATCACTTGTTTTTCTTCCTCCCTCGCACTTCGAACAGCAGCACCGCCAAACGCATGTCACTCCTTCTCTCGCGGATTCCCCTCAGACACGCCTCCCGCCACATGCATCAACCCACAGCCACACAGTCCGTAAACGTCACGCTGCCGCCCCGCATGATGGAGCCGCACACACACCAAAATGGCACCCCGCCACTCGGCGCAAGCAGTGTCTGGACACACAAAACAGGTTGCCCCAGTCCACGACAGCCCCCTCCAAGCAGTGAGGCAGGACTCGTCAGTAACAATCAAACAATCAGCCTTTGTTTCCTCCTTCCGCCATGCACAAAGTTCTGCCTGCCCCATGCATCATCCGTGACGCCCGGACTCTCAATGAGCGAGCAAAACGCTATGCGCCCCTCGACTCAACAAGAAGCCCTCTGAAGATTCTCAGCCAGTCGTCTCCATGGGCTGTGCATGAGGAGCACCACGGCAAGAATGCACAGAAGCTTATATGCAAACCCCTCAACTCATTCCACGTCAATAAGCAGTGTGGCATCATGCCTGGGCTTCACAACAATGTCGACTGGCGCTTCCCCGAGAGGCCTCCCATAAACACCGCACGTGGTCACAGTAAAGAAAAAGCAACGCCTCCAATCTGGCTGTCACCCTGCGGCAAACATCAAAGCACAATCCAACAAAATGCCGCAAATCATCACATATTTCACACAGACCATCGACAGCTAGCGCGGCAAATGCACAGCACGGAAGAAGAGCCATGCCCACAAACACGCAGCACACCGAAACATTAAGAGAGTTGAGAAAAGTAGCACCCAAAGCCATTCTTTGTGGATGCAAATGATAATAGCATCAAACAACGCGAAGCACCAGTCGGGCACCACAATATGGGCGACAGACACACCCACCCACCCATTCACTCTTCCTCCTCCCAATGGCGTGGCCCTCCTTCACCTCCACAAACACGCCTGTCCCTCAGTCATGCAACCTTCTAACGCAAGCACTCAAGATGCGTTTCGGCAATCCAAAATTCAACACCTATGAAAAACAGAGGACAGGCTCGCAGAGGCCACACGGCTCCTCAACGCAGCCTCAAGCCCTCCTCACGACTCTTCAATGCGATGGAAAGGAATACAGGCGGCTCTCGTGTCACAGAAGACGGCCAATAGGAGCGGTTTTCACAGCGCAGAAAATGCAAAAATGTGAAAAAGAAGAAAAGGTGGGAGGGCTCGCAGGGGACGTCACCTGCCACGCCTGAAGTGCGTCGTCCCATTCGTGCAACGGAGAAGTAATGAGACGGTTGTTGCGGTGCCTGCCCGTGCGTGCACCTCACTCTCGCGCCAATGAACGTCTCAAGGAACATCCTGCAGAGGGCAAGCAGCTGGCCGTGCAGACAATCCCGAATCTCGTCAACGTTCCAGCAGCCGCTCCTTTGGCGAGGCGTCGCTCTCTTTCGTCCTTGTCTCCCGTGTGCCATCCTCGTATGAAATGAAAATGCCTTCCACGTCTGGTGTCATCAAGCACCTCCAAATAAATTAGAAAGGATTCACGGCCTCGAGAAAAAGCCCCCAAAGTGGCAGTCAACGGGAACTCAGCAACGCATGTCATCTTCTGCAGCCGCGTGCATTGCAACTCCCCTCAGCCGCCCACTGTTTCTTCCTTCCTTGTAGACCCAAACCGCATAGTACACTTTGATTTGCTCGGATCCTCCACAGGCTCATGTAACCGTGTCCACCACGCCCGTGCGGCTCGTGACAGCATCACTTCCCCGTCCACTTCTGCGGCACCGAATAGCGTGAAATAAGGATCCAAAACACCACATCTGTGAGGCAAACACACATGCATCGCTCCAACGGGTGCCACTGAGAGAAATCACACGACAGCGCACTATCTCTCGCTCTCCCATCAGCGATTTGCCGTCAACAACAACAACGGCATTGAGAAGCAGCCTCGGGGCAATCCCTGAGAGCCGTCCCCAACTCGGCGAGAGACCCACTCCGGGAACCCGGCACTCCGGTGCCGTCCCGGAAAGAACTCCTGCCACCGCCAACCGTGTTCCCCTGTCGCGTTGGCACACGGAGCCCGCTTCAGAGAAACAACAACACGCTCCATTCAAAAAGTGGCTATGAGAGCGCAGGCAACAGGCGCAGGGCGCACCCTCTCAGTTTCCAGTGCCTACAAAGTAAAAGAGCATCAGTGCCGACTTGCTGCAGCACGCACAGTTGTGCTTCTTTTGTCCTCCCTCGTGTTTTTTCAATTACATGGCCCGCGCTGCGGCAACGCGTGCCCCCAGACCTCAAAGTGCTGCAATTTGCTTTGGCATGACGCAGGTGGTCCGGACGCTTGTAGATGCCGTCTGCATTGCGCCAACAACGATCCCGTGCGGGAAACATTGCTGGCTCCTAAATTCCCCCGACAATACGGGGTGCTGGGCCCTGGCGCCGCGATGAGGCATTCAAGCATGAAATCGCAAGGGGAAGCAACGATGACGCAGGCACAAGGAAGCCATTCCACCCTCAATTGAATACGGCGCCCCACTCCAAGCAGTCACACGGAGTGCACTGTTTCCACAAAAGAACTTGTTCGTCGTCCATCCCTTAAAGATGCTTCGTTTAATGATGAGCCTTAGAACAAAAAAAATAAGAGGAAATAAACAACGTAGTCATACTTCATCACCGCTGGCCATAATCATTCTCTCATAAAAGAGCAATTTCCCTACTATGCCTCGTATGCACACACAGAAATTCACATGTATGAAACAACCCGCAATGTTTTTCTACCAGAAACCAAACTACCCAGTTCCCTCCATAATTTCTTCTTCGTTCACTGTTACGATCGCTCGCGTTGGACATTTTCCGCATCCGTGTGTGATGCTGCCGCCTGATGCTGCTGCATCTGCACTGTATGCACACACAGGCATCCAACCATATGAAACAGGTCCCAATATTTGTTACCAGAACTCAAAGTACCCCCGCAATTCCCTAATTTGTTTTCGTATTTATTCCTTTAATTACTCCTCAATTCTAAGGCCTTCTTGGGGCGTCTTCGGATGATATTGACACTTGGTACTGGCGTACCTTTTCCTTCCAGAATGCCACAATCTTTTTTTCATCGTCGCTCACATTATTGGTATCGACGACATCACATCCCTGCCAGCCATTCATCGGCGTGCTTTCTGCGTGCTGCACGTAAATCATCTCCCACGACGTGTCTCGGGATAACTCCTCCCAACCATTAAAATATGCCGCCAGGCACTCCGTGAACTGCCTCACAGTGCTGGCTGTGGTGTGATGCCCGCCCACCGTAGTGATCTGCAGCCCAACCAGCGTCATTGGATTTGACTTCACAAAGAAAAAGCCGTCCACCAGCGGAAAGTTTTCCACCTCCGTTACGTACAGCACCCCGCACTCCACATCAATCCTCTCAGAAACGTGTTCCAGTGGCGGTAAGACATGGTGCCTGGTGGAGCGCTCCTGTGAGTACACCGCCAGCGCACAGCGGTGGGACTGACGTTGTGGTGATGGCCTCAGCTCCCTCAGCCTGCGTTCTATTGCACGCACAAAAGATCCATTCAAAAATGCAAACACGGTGCACCTTCCAAAATTTTCTGATATGAGATAATCCGTCAGCCCCGATATGAGAAAATTAAAATCAAGCTGTTGCATTAACTTCGCCGACTTGAATAATGTTTTATTTCCGAGGTGAGCAGACACCGGTAAATTGAAAAAAATTTCAGAACCGCCCGTTTCACTTCGTACTCGGACAACCCTCGCAAGCCAGTAGAGCACCTTCTTACAATCCCAGGATTCACCACGTCCCAAACCAGTGTATTGCAAGATTACAGAAGAGGTCGCCTCATCGACGGTCTTGTGACACCGTTGAACCCAATTATCATACTTTCGCTCGTCAAAGATATAACGTGGAATAGGTCCCACTTCATCCATTTGGCTCTTCACCACATGCCAGTACTCCGCTTGCTCCCGCACGGGCTGATGGCGCCTCATCCAAACGCACATCGCCTTCACATCGCTTTCACCAGGGCAATTCATAACTATTTTCGTGGCACTACTCCGCTTCACCCATTCTTTGTAGTTCCTCTCGAGTGGGGGTGACACCAAACCCATGCCCCATCCCCTGGGAGGCAAATTACCAGATGGTGCATCATCCGGCTCTGCCAAATCGTAAATAATATACCCCTTCATCCCACGGTCAGACAGACGCCTGACAAAAGACGCATTACTGGAGTCGCCCATGTACTTCGACACCGTCCTGCTGGTCTTGTCAAACAGGAATGTTCGATCCGCAATAAGGTAAACAACCATTGGGAGTCGTTCCACATCGTAGTGCAGCAGCTGGTAGAGGAGGTACGAGCCGGCATTCATCGACTTTCCGATCCCGGGCGTCCCAACCAACACACGCCGATTGGGCTCAAAGTAGGCCCCAGGGTGAGGGCTGAACCACTCGGTGAGATCGCGCTTGACGATCTGCCACACTCGCTCCACCTCACAGTTCACATAGCAGTCACGAGTGAATTCCACCCCCTTCCGATTCCACGTGCACGGCCATCCCTTGTCCGAGGTGAGCACCATCAGCCTGGGACGCTCTGCACCGGATTGCTGCGCACCGTCATCCTTTTCGAGAGTGTAGCCAACTGCCTTGTAAGTCCATGGCTGCGGTGGTTTCCCCTCTCTCACTTCCAGTCCCGTCCCCTCGCCGCCAGGAACTTCCACGACATGGCTCCACCTCGCATTGTACACAGAGTCGTAGAACCCCTCCAGTTTATTCGATGCACTCATCCTCATTGAGTTCCTCACGTCTTCAAGGAATGCACCCAAAAACTCCTTAGTGATGTCATGAGCACCTGCCTTTACCTCCGCAGCAGCTTCTAGCCAGCCGATTAGGGTATTTACACCATTCTCCTCAAGCTTGCGTACATCTTCATCAAAAACCATTTTATTCCTTAGATCATTCCTGACGCACTTGTAACAAAATGATGCGTGTATCTCGTTCAATATTCCCTCATCGCGGATATACCTCGTGGGATCCTTGAAAAACTCCTTCATCAAAACATTCCTATTCGTGTCCACAACGCCCTCTCCGTCCAATTCCATCGTAAGAAAATCATTCAGCTTCATGTTGGTGCTGGGAGCCGTTGCCTCCAGCAGCACATCTTCCACACGACTGTCAAGAGTCCACTGTGGTTGCCGCGCTTCCTCCATTCTTCTGCGAGTCGCAGCGGGTTGATCTGTGCCACCCTCAAGCACCGGCCTCGCCCTCCTCCGACCATTTCCTTGCGGCACAGTGAGCGCGGGACCCTCCCCATTGCCACCGTGCACTGTCTCGGGCCTCCCAGACATTGTTTCTCCTTGCTTTCTTGGTTGGATTGAGTTAAAGCCGAACACTAACCAACAACCAAAAAGAAGAATAAAAACCAATAGGCACAGACACGACAGGCAGTAAGGCAAATAAGCCCCACAACACCCAAGAGTAAAATACCACAAAAAATATAAACAGCCATCATACCCTGGTCTTTTTTTTTTTTTGGGGGGGGGGGGTGATCGGCAGAGACGAATATTCATGGATGTCAGTTTTCCATGCACCTTGTCGGTCTATGCCTCCGTCTCGTCAAGAGACCCCATCTGCGTTGAAACCTCCGAGACCAGCAAAAATGCGTTCTATTCCAAACTTTATAGACGTTTTCCTATCCTGTCAAATGCCTGATTCGTCTCGGTATCCCGCAGTTTAATTTGCTCAAGGAAAAGAGCAAATTCCTCGTCTTCATTTGGTGACAGAAGAGGCGCAGCAAGCTCTTGTATCGCCGCAGAGTCAGTAAACGGCGTAGCTCCGGCTACAGCCTTCTCATTCATACCTCCTCTCGGCACATCATCATCTGGTTTCCCGCCACAGTGTTCACGCTGAAGCCCTTCAATTTTATGAACGTACATCATCAATGCAAGGTATTCATCTAACCTGCCATCTTTCACTGCCAAACGCTGAAGAATCATGGCCTCCCTCTTCATATTACTTATCTTTTGCCGAATGGAATTGGACACCCCTGCTCGGCGTGTGATACTCAAAAAACTTCACCTTTCCTACAAGAGGGACAAAGTTCCCCTCACCCACTTCATAAGATAGGCAAGGCGATACTGAGCCTTTTCGTAATCACCTATGTGGCTACTGCGCAGGGCCTCTAAAGCCCCCATCCCCCCCTACAACTGAGGAGGAAAAGGCGATGGCCTCACCGTTCCCACCACGTTGCATTGAGACGCTCCAATCGGGACAGTTCTCCTCGAACGTTCAACATCGGTTGCGGGAAACCCCCGTTTTAGCTTCCTTTTTATCTTTTTTTTTTTCCTCTTTCCCCCGCACCTCTCCTTCTTCTGTGACGGTGTCAAGGAAAAATAAATAAATAAATGAAAAAGTCAGAAATATTGCTTCACAAACCACAGAAAGAGACAAAGAGTAAAAGGATAAGAAAGAGAAAGAACAAGAGAACAGGAATGTGTCTCTAAAGAGAAATCAACAGTTTGTTGTTGTTGTTTTGTTTCGTTTTTTCGCAAAAAAAAAAAAAAAAAAAACGACAATTGTGAAGATGTACTCTGAATATTGCCATCTATATCCATTGCAATGCAAATGTAGTATTATCGCCCTTTCACCTTTTTTTTTTTCTCTCTCACAGACCTTCTATGCACATTTCTATACGGATCCCAGCACCCGCACCCGCCACTTAATCCTGTTCTAAGTCCTCTATGCGTCATCACTCTCTAGCTTTCGCGAGAGATATTTTGCCAAAAAGGAAAGTGGATTTGTTGAGGATATCAATTGCAACAAATTCTCCTCCATCGATCTCATGTCTTCATCGACCATCGATTTGAGTCGAACAAGTGACTCTTCCTCCACAGATTCGGAGCGTTGAAGGGCGACCAATAGCTTTTCTCGAAATCTGCCCACCTCACCTTTCAGCAACTCGCTCAGTGCCTGAATCTCGGTCAGCTCCTGGTTAAGCGACTGCACACATTCAGCAGCACGCGACTTTAATTGGGCTTCGGCTTGCCGTACGGCTGTTAAATCTTCTCTCACAGAGGCCTCAAACTCATCACGCTCGCGCGCATTAAGTCGACGCATTTTCTCCACCTCTTCTTGCATAAAGTCCACAGCGCATTGAAGCTCCCCCTGACAATCCTGTCGCATTCGCGCAACCTTGTATGAAGCTGCTTCGTGTAGCTGACGAAGCGCGTACTCCTCCACCTCTTTTGCTACCTCCACCTCCTTCTTTTCAGTGGCTGGTTGTTTTCCATTTGGTGAAGACGGTTCGGAGTGCGTTTGTTGTCGCTGCATCTTCACACCACGATTAGAAAAAACTTTCTCAGAGGCGTAAGACGCGGTAGGTACAGAAATAGAATGGCCATTCTCATCCGGAATGAAACCTGTATCATTTATAGTGGCATTTCGGGAATTAAAACTCCTCGCAGCAGCTGCTGCTGTGGTTACTAATGATGATGCCTCTATTTGTTGCCGAATAAGGCTTATAGGAACACGACGCTTTCTATCGGCAATCCATTCGTGAACCCCAGATGATCGAATAGCGCTGAACGTCGACTGCGTCAATGAAATCATAAGCGTATCTTTGCCACCATCATGGCTCATGAGATGAGAGAGTCTTACGGGGATGACATGCAGTCGAAGGCCAAGCTTCCGCTCTTTTGAAAGCTTTACAGAACGAATGTGTTCGTACGGAATGGTGATGTTATCCCCAGAGCACCCTGGAATCATGATGACGAGAATCAATGGGAAAAAATAAATGCTTGTGTGACCGCACACCTCTTCATTACCTGCCTCAATAAGGAGTGCCGTAAACTGGAGCCGTTTAAAACTAGCGTATTCCATATTATAGGCGTCAAGCAGGGTCTGGATGCTTGTTAACAGATTTTCATCATTGGGAAGCTCCGGCACACACTTCTTGAAAAACTCAGGTAATGTTGAGGTTGACAAAACCGTACGATTGTGTGTATAGAGACGAAACAACATTTCAACACACTGCATTTGAAAAAAAATATCGTTCGACTTTGTCAAGACTTCCCCAATGAGACCACACTGAACACTCATCCGATTCTTGTTGGCCTTTGACCCGCGGATGAGCGTGATGAGCACGCTTGCGCAGCCACGACCTTGACGGTAGTCATCTTCCTTTTCCACAGCAACGTGAAGAAATGTCAAGAAACATGGCATCAGTACCACGCCAAGCGGATCCTTCAGAGTCGAAAAGGCGCAGAGCTGTTGGATCAGCTCAAAAAAACCCTCAATGTTAAGCTTGCCGCGGAATTCGTGTTGTTCGGGCCTTAAAAGTGTGTCGCAGATGCCTGCCAAAAGGTCGATGCAACGCCCTTCTTCAATGGGCGCCAAAAGAGCTCTCGAGACATCCTGACACTCCAAAATAGCTGGCTGCAACAATAGATGAAGAAAGACAGAAAAGGGGACCACCAAAGCGTGCCGCACGGCGTAGAGGCACTTCCGCATGATTGTCTCCATCTCACGAAAAACAACAGAGAGATCCCCGTCGGTAAGGACAGGAGGACATAATTGAACCTCATCGGTGGGGAGACGCAGTAGCGCCTCCACGGACGCCATATATCTTTGGTCGCACTAATAGCGAGGCACCCCTCTGTTATTCTTGCTGTTGCCTTGTTTCTCTTCTTTTCACTGCCTCATTGAAAAATAAGTATAAAAACGAAATATAAATATATATTGGCCAGGAACGGCTAAAAGCTTCTGTTGGCGATCTAAATGGCGTCACAAGTGCAGAACCATTGGTAATCCATCACACATACAAATTTAACACACACTCAATCAATCAAAAAAAAAAAATGCCATCTTTGGCCCTTCTATTTAATGGTATTTGAAATTTTACTCTTCCGGCCGCCCTCACATTCGACGGTCACCCTCCCAATCGTCTTTCCCATCTAGTAGGAAAAACTTTGCTCAAACAGTTCCAGTGTAATTGTTGTCAGCATGTATACAAAAAATACAAACAACATCGATGGCAACACATCAAAAACCAGGTAAACCAAAAGCATTGCCCTCGATATTCTTTCTGGCCTCTTCAAATGAATGAGAGCAAGACCCTGAAAATGAACAAGGTAAGTAAGCAACAGAGGTGAGATGGATTTCCCCACCAGTGAGCACGGATCCACAAAATAGCGATGAAGAAAAGCGACGAGAATGGTCAATAAGGTAATCGTAATATAGGAAAATATGCTAAAGAAACTGGGTAAATGAGATTCGGTCCAGATGTTTACTGCGCAGGAAAAAAAAGCGACACCTCCACTAAAGCGTGCAGTGGGCTTCCGTTTCTCTCGATCATTCGAAAAATCCGTGTGTTTCAACTCATCGGTAAAATGCCCCGCTGGCGATGCTAAATGAGAATCAAGGTCCTGCTTTTTTTCCTCTGTTGGGCAGGTAGAAGCTGTAATAGTTGCAGTTTTCTCGGAAAAAAACTTTTTCTCCGTCTTGTCTTTGTTTATTGCACAATCCGTATTTAATCGTATTCCACCTTCAACCGATCCTAATGCTTTTTTCAAATCTGGATACTCTTGCTCAAGTTTCTGAAGTTCAACACTGAGTGTCTCGTCAATTTGGCCAAGTTTCTGCAAAGACTCTGCCTGTCGAAGCAAAGCCCGATAGCGACGTCGGGCTCGTAATTGCTGAGTACCATCCATATTATTTGCAAAGAAAAACCTTTGCGTACTGAAAATAAAATAAAAATAAAAACATAAAAGATAATTGCTCATTAATCCCCAAAACTCTACAACAGAAATAAACCATTTTTTTCCATGCACGTTCATTTACTGGTGGCACTCAAAAACAGAAACAGTAAAAGTAAGCCCAAATGGCAGTTAACACAAAAAAAAAGGAAACGATATGTCCTTTTTTTTTCCCCCTAACCCTCTAAAAAAGTCTGATTGTGTGCAATAATTACCGCGTCTGGGGAAAAGAAATCTCTCTTCCAGCTGTAAAATAGCGCAAAAGAGTTGCAACCTGCACCGTACTATTCGTGGCATGACACAAAAATAAGGGGTAATTTGCTGGTGAAATAGCGATAGCCCATCTAAGGAAAATGGCACTGTACCCAAAAAGAATGCTCGTCATCATGGGATCAATGTCACTGGGCTTCCTTGTGGGAAAATTCATTATGCCAGCAATGGGTATCAGCCAATTTGCTGCAGCACCGACGTATCCAATGTAACGGACAGTGCTTACGGAAACCATTGAATAATATATACTTATAAGTACCTTTCCTTTTGATCTAGTTCAAACAAAAAAGTAAATAAATAAATAAATAGAAAAAGTAATTAAGATGAAAGGACGACTCGTTCATTTTTATTATTATCAATATTTATTTATTTATTTTTAATCTCGGTTTTAGGTTAGAGGCGAGAAAATAAAAATTTTTCCTCAACAAATTCTTCTCTACATCAGTTCATTTATCCTGACAAAGAAAATAACGATCATTGTCTTTTCTTCGGCAAGCTAGAATTTAGTGACCTAAGAAGCATGTCAACGTCCTCCACCATAGGTGGTGGATAAAAAAAGCCATCCTTGCTAAAATACCTACCGTATGAAACCTCTTTAAAAACCGAATAGTAAACGGATGAAGCGGCAAACGGACGAGAAGGCCCCACCAGTTGAGCCTCAATAGTTACCCTTGTCGAGTTTGGAACCTCATTAACCCGAACACAAATTTTACGCCCTCTCAAAGCACGAAGATAATCCCTCCTGCGCGTGTCATTACCACGGAAAGAAGATCCTGCAGCCGTGAACACTACGCGATCTGAAGCTTGTGAAGATTCGAGAAGGCAAGCAATCAAACAAAAAAGGCCCGCAATACCCATTAGCATGTATGTTGTCCGAGGATAGGGCTTAAGAAAATCCTTTCCAATAAGTAAAACGGAGTCAATCAAAACAGTCACGACAATAGATAAATATAATGTTATCCTCTCCTTCTTATAGTTATAATTCGTCTCAAATTCGCCCAAATGATCCAAATAGTCGTGTATATTATTCAGTATAGCGTTTTTTGCCGTCCTGATATCATTTACAGGATAGTACTTGCGTACAGAATCACTGTATAAATCATAACCATAAACGTACTTCTTCTTAATTTGTTTATTGGCCAGATCAATTGTAATATCATTCATTTTGTGTAGATTCTAAAAAAAAAAAAAAAAAAAAAAAAAAAAAAGAGAGAGAAAAAAACATATATAAGTAAAATGCGCGATAAATTAACGGGGAAAATAATACATTTAACATGATAAATTAAAGGAATAAGGAAACTAAAATCATATCACCAAAGATTATATAAATAAAAATATAATTTTATTTTTAATAAGTCCATCTATATTTTCTATCATGATAAAGCCGATTTCCATTCTGCAGAACGGATATGAATACTGTGTGGCTCGTTGGGAATACAACCAGTTTTACCCATTGCCCAATCGTAACTCCTAGCAAAGGCAAGCAAACTACCATCAGCACTAATGTCTCCGGCAGAAATCGACTTATTCCGGTTTTCTAATCTTGTTTCGGATTCCCCATATCCTACAATAGATCGTTTTTTGTAGTCCCAACAACCAATTCGGCCATCGCCACCACCCGAAATCATATGGGGGACTCGGGGACTGATGACGCAAAAATTTGTCTGATGCATGTATAGGACATTATCCTCCACCAAGACATGGGCCTTGAACGTACAACCTACCTCGGCTTGAAGAGGTATAAATGAAAGCCTTCCCTCCGAACTTCCAACTACAACACCGTCTTTTTGGGGAGAACATGCAACACATCCCAAATTAAACTTTAACAAAGGTGGTGGTTTAAGCTCATTTGTCTTCATCATTGTTTGAAGATTAAATATATGAACTTTTCGACCTGTCACACAAGCAGCCATAGGAAAACTTCTTTGCGCATCCAAACCAAACACAGGCTCACCCAGAATTTCCTCCTTTATAGGCATTGGTTGTCTCAAATCCCAAAAACGCAACCTTCCATCCCAACTACCAGTAACCAACATTTCCGTGCCAGTATTAGAGCTGACATGAGCTATACAACTTACAGGAAGATCGTGAGATCCAACAATTATTTTCTGGTTGGTTGTTAGATTCCACATTGTTGCCGTCTTACTACATCCACCCCAAAAAACCCGACCATCAGCTGAAAATGACATATCCAAAATTGGTGCATCGCTCACAGCAAACGTCATTGGCTGGGATCGAATATTTATTGCATTTGGCTGATGAATCACCTGCCATACACGACAGGTTTTGTCCCACGATGCCGCGCCAAGTAGCAGATAAGGACATCCAGAAGGCGAAAAGCGTACGGTACTGACGCAGTCATTTGGAGGTCCATCTACTTCATGTACACCAGTAGGCGAACGAATATAATTAAATGTGTTCATACTATTATTTCCCTCACTTAAATTAAATCATTTTTTTTTTTTTTTTAAGGGCAATTAAATAGCGAAAATTAAATAGAAATTATGTCTCATTCTTAAACGTATAAATCCAAAAAATATAAACTGCTCAAAAAATTGCACATAAAAATATATATGTGCATATATAAATAACAATAATAAAACATAAGGACCACGACAAAAAACATTAGTCAATATATTTCTTCTCGACTGTGACAATCCTTTTCTTGCCTCACTCCCTCCTAGTAACGATGAATGCAATAATAATAATTAATAATAATAATAATAATAATAATAATAATAATAATAATAATAATAATAATAATAATAATAATAATAATAATAATAGTAATAATAATAATAATATTAATAATAATAATAATAATAATAATAATAATAATATAATAATAATAATAATATAATAATAATAATAATAGTAATAATATAATAATAGAAATAATAATAATGATAATATGGTAATAATAATATAGCAATAATATCTTACTTTTGATAGGAAAACTAGCTCAATAAAGAACGTGTCCCAGAAAGAACAAAAAATTCTTCTGTAGCGCAGCCGTTTTGTGCCCAAATGCTCCGCTCCTCCTCCAGTGACAAGCCGTCACATTCATGATTCCAAAAATCATCAGGTATATTTTCTGAAAAAAAAGCTTTCAACAGCTCTGAAACTTCTATTCGTGCGTCCTCAAGATGTTGTGGGTCATCAGGTGAATATTTCAGGAGCTCTTCAGGGCACCGCTCCGGAAATGCATGCGTTCCCAAATCAAAAAATTTTTTGAACACGCAGTTAGGACGGTCATGGTTAATGGCGGCGTATGTACTAATTACAACAGGATCATCACCTCGAAGAAGCGCATTCCAGCAGTTGTTAAGGTAGCGAGACATCAACACAACGAGTTGATCTTTGTATGAATCAGGATCTACAATTCCCATACGAAAAAGAGCCATGATGGTACCACAGCAAGCTTGAGTCAAGAACTCCACTGTGCTTTCCTTGCTCGTGGACATTTTATCCTATTTTCTTATGTGGTAGGTATTAACAAAAAAAGGAATAAAAGGATACAACAAACATGTAGAGAGCACTTATATCCAAAAAAAAAAAAAAAAAAAAAAAAAACAGTAAAACAAAAAAATTTTCAAATTTTTTATCAAGAAAGCACATATGCTAAATAATTTTTGGCCAATACCCCATCGCCTCAATTTACAATAGATATTCACCTCATTTCACACTAAAAAAAAAAGAAATAACTTATTATTCTCTCTTTATTTTCTAAAAAATAAAAATAAAAATCCAGAATCCTCACCCACAGTAACAGCGATGTAATTGCCCATATTTAAGATACAATAAGAAAGGGAAAAAAACTATTTTAGCAAAGAAGCGGACCTAAATCTATTCCTTAAAAAATTTAACAAAAAAGCATTTCCCAATACCAAAGAAATACAGTCCAATGTTTCCTTCTAAAGTATATACGGGGGGGGGGGGGGGAAACAATATACGTATATAGAATAATATTCTGGGCCGCTGGCCGGATCCTGAAACAGCCTATGGAAACCAAACAAGTTAGGAAAAAAGGTTCGTTAGTTAATTGCTTCAATGTTTTCTTTTCATTCAATATATAGAATTCTGTGGACCACTAGCATGGTCCTTTGTCCTCGGTTAGAATCTGAATATAATTACTTGCGAAGTGCCAGACTTTGGGGTCCTCCAGCCACAAGACCCCGCCGCGTGGTGGGAATCAAAAGGGGCTGGGTGGGTGGCAAAATAAAAACAAATATTATCTGGCCTCCATCGGTTCCCTGCCCTTACAAAGTCGCGTTCTTCCCAAAAGATTCATACGGTAGAAAGTATCATAAAGAATGCCTTCATTTATCAGGATATACATACATAAATTAAGTTAGCCAGCTCTCCCGCGATCATTCTCTTCACAAGCTCCTATTTACAAAGCCACCGTCGTCGGCAACAAAACCAAAACACCGCCTCACGCCAAAAAGCCCGAAAGAACAAAAATCGCGCCGCCAACGCCAAAACCGCCCAACCCCAAAAACCCAGGTTTTCTCGCCTTCTTCCGGCGCCCCGCTGGCCCAGCAACCCGCGCGGAACTGTCGTGCTTTTGTTTACGATCCTCGTTTTTTATTTTTTTTATTTATTTTTTTTTTGTTTTTGTTTTTTTTTTGGCAGATTCGTTTTCTGGAGAGGGAAAGGCGTCACAGAGGAAGGGATGGCTGCCGTGATAAATGACTTTTTGAGGGGCGGCGCTGGGATTCTTGCTGCCCGAATGCCGTTTACCCTTGTCCTTGGCAACGACGGGGGCGATTTGGATAGCATCATTGGCTCAATTTATTTGTCTCTATACCTGGAAAAACATGCCGATTTGGGAGGTGGAAGTTATATTCCCGCACTAAACTTTGAAAAGGAGGATCTTCCGTTGCGCAATGACGTCATAAAATTATTTTCAAAGCATGGTATAGCAACGGATTACTTGCTTTCAGTTAAAGGAAAGCCAGGTATTTCAGGTTTTTTGGATCTAAAATCATCCCAACCCAATGTCGTTTTGTATGATCATAACAAGCTTATTCCTGAACAAAGATTCCTCTGTGAACGTGTCGTCGGTGTTATAGATCATCATTTTGATGAGAAACTATATTTGGATTCTTCTATTCAATTTCGAAGAATAGAATCAACAGGTTCAGCTTGTACTCTTGTCGCGGAATTGTTTCAAGAAGCGGAATTGACGGTTCCATGTCCGGAGCTTCTCTTAGCGCCCATTGTACTTGACACCGTAAACTTTGATCCATCTCAAAAGAAAGTTACAGAAAAGGATATAATGTTATCCCAGTGGCTTATAAAACAAGCTTCTGATTCAATTGATCCGAAAAAGATTTTTTTGGAGCTGTCAAAATGGAAAAATGATATACTTGCTCTTACCTTCCCCCAACATTTCCGCAGAGACTACAAGGACTTTGAATTTTCATTTGGGAAAAACGAAGACAAACACTTGCAAATAGGAATCAGTAGCATTGCTTGTCGATTTGATGAGTTTCTTGGCACAAGTGGAATGATGCATCTTGCTTCTAACTGTCTCGATTTTTTGCTGCCAAAAAAGCTGGATGCTTTCCTCCTGGCTTTTGCTGGAGAAAGGGGATATAAAAATTATTGCCGACAGCTGGCTTTTATTGCAAGGGGGATCCTTCTTGAGGCGCTCAAAGAATTTGCAGAGAGTTCACCTGAGGGTATTTGTTTCACCATTATAGACAGAGCAGAACTGAAGGGATGGAGACTAATGTGTTATGAATTGAGTGATCCTTCCGTTTCGCGGAAGCGGCTCGCACCATCACTGATGAAGTTTTTTGCCTCTTGGCCAAAACTGTAAAACATTTCTTAAAAGAAGGTACATTTTAAAAAGGGAAGACGTAAAGGCTTTAATAAGACTCATATGTTGAGCTCTTAATGAAAATTTGTTGGTTGATATACGCTACGATCCTATATTTATTTTGCCGTTTTATCTGTTCTGTTGCTGTTGGTGCCATGTTTTTCATGTGAGTCTGTTTAACCAGTTGTTTTGCTCCTTGCATATAGTAAAGGGTGACGTATTGAGAAAATTTTTTCACCCGAAAGCATGGACATCGTGGTTTGTGGTCCGAGATGGCAGGATGGCCATATGGAGTACAAAATATGCATTAGGAGTGTCACGGATACAGATAAAATTCTGAGTATTACCTACCGTAGATTTAGTGAGATTTATTTGGTTTTTAAAAGAATGCTAGAGCTGAATCCCTATCCTCCTTTACCACCTTTACCTCCAAAAAAGCTTTTTGGAGCCACAGACCCTGTTTTTGTAGAAAGACGAAGAATGGAACTAGAAGCTTTTTTTTTTGTTGTTGTTGTTTCATTTTTAAACTCCAGATGTTCTGTAGGGTCCAATTGCAACAGCAAATAGATTAGAACGTATTGCAAAAAAAAAAAAAAAAAAATGACACGCGGGAACCAACGAGATCTTGCCCGTGAAAAAAATATGAAAAAACAACAGGAAAAGCAAAAAGGACGGCGCTCAGATGGAATGTCCGTTGCTCAGCGAAAGGAAGCTGATGCGGAGCGCGTGCGCAAGAAGCAGGCAGAGGCGGAGTTGAAACGGCAAGGTGATTCCTGATGTAATCATGCGCCTCATGTTGTAAGATTCTATTCTGTCATGTATATCGAAAAGGAGAAAGAAATATATATATACCAGGAGCACTAATTGTGTATTTATTTAGGGTACAGGAATAGTAATTATCAATTATCCTTCAAATAAACTGGGGAGTGACTGTTGGCAATATTTAGTTGTTTTTTTTTTTTTTCTTTTTTTTTTATTTTATTTCATTTGTAACCTGTAAGCGAAATGAATATGCAAGTACTTTTAGTATTAAATTGACACTTTCTTTCATTCTTCACTTTAAATGATTTTCTGCTTTTTTGCTGTTTGTTTTTTTTTTTTTTTTTTTTGTTTTTGTTTTATTTGTGTGGGTGGGTGGGTGGGTAGGAGTGGACGTTATTGCGGCAAAAGGACGCAAACGGAAACAACAGAAGATGTCATACTATGACAAGTCCAGTTCTGTGGGTTATGATGAAAGAGATAAGGAGTTGAATGAAGAGTTGGAGGCCATGCTTGCGCGTACACCGCCTCACATTCAGAGGCATCTTCAACAACGTATTCATGACGGAATATTACAGCGGATGAAAGAGGAAACCACAAGAAAGTGCTGGGAATTTGTCAAGAAGTATGAAGGCTGTGTGAATTCGGTTCAACCCTACAATATAAGGGAGTGCCTTCCTCACCGTGATGCACTAAACGATTGCGCTCATGAAATTAACTGTGAAGATAATTATCAGAAATATCGTTTGCTGTATCTGCATGGTGAGCTTCTCAAACTTCATGAACACCGCACAGGTCAGAAGATGGAAGCACTGAAGTCTCGTGTTCCTGATTCGATTAGAACCTGGAAGTCAGACTATGCTCCAAAGTACGCTGATATGATGTCAGAAGTGGGCGCAAAGCCTTTTACAGGGGAAGGGGAAAATCTAGATGATGAGTGAAAAGTTGATTTTGGGTTGTTGTCTTTCGTGTGTGTGTGTGTGTGTGTGTGTGTGTTTATTAACATTAATTTCTTCCAAAGGAATTTATGAATCTGTCCTGCGCACAATTATTTGAATTTCATAACCATCTGCCTTATTTCTTTTCATATTCTTTATATATATATCATCTGTTGTATTGCTTCATGTTGCGGCATAATAGGTCTCTACATGTTACGTGTCATTGTTCGACGTCTTGCTTGGAGGCCGGCCGCCATTCAACACCTACCCGATTTGGGGTCTAAGGATGCTCCCAAAAAAACAGAAGATACCCAAAGACAATACCGCCCTCTCTCCCTTAGAGCACGTCAGGCTCTGGCGGAAAAATCAGATGAGGTACAGTATCATGTGATAACTCAAGATTGGTTTGGTCAGCGTGTCGACACTTTTCTTACTCAGCACCATCCTGAATGGAGTTATGAAACTATGAAAACTTTGGTTCAGCAAGGTCATATCTACCGATACAGGAAAAATGGAAAGAAAAGATTCACGCGAATAACGGATAGGCTTGAGTTTGATGAACTACTTGTCGTTCCAACTCCGGTTTTTTACGAAAGGCAGCTTGCTCCTCCCACTGGTGTTCTCCAGGAGAGTAAAAAGCCAACACATTTTAAGTTGTCTTCGCAGGTAAGGGAAATGGCACATAATATGGTGCTTTTCAAAAATGAACATGTCATTGTCATAAACAAACCCCATGGTGTCCCCATGATGCCAACGAGTGACCCACAGGAAATGAATATAGCCGCTATGCTTTCTGCTTGGAAGTACACAAATTCAACGAAACCTATTGTTTGCCATAACCTTGATAAGGAAACCAGTGGTTGTGTTGTTTTAGCAAGAAGCAAAAACGCACATCGTATGTTAGCCCGTATGTTTGTGAAACGTGTGGTACCAAACAGTG